GCTGAGGCTTTCAGAGAGATGGCACCATTCCTGGTCCTGGTCTGTCCTCTTGTTGGCTCTGTCTTTCAACAACCTGGAAAGACAGGTTTGGAGAGGGAAGGAATCTGAAAGGGATTGGTGAGCAAGAGGAAGGAAGGGTATGGGAAAGGAACAGGGACTCTGAAAGAGACACAGAGAGTAAGAGAGAGAAGGGCAGGCAGACATACAAACAGACAACATGCACACACACACACGACACGACACACACATACACACAGTGAAGCAGAGGAGAGAAGACAGAAGTGATGATTAATGGGATCTTTTACCAGACTCCAGGAACACTCTGTGTCCCTTCCTCAGAAGTGCTGGGACTTTTGCATCCATCATTTCTTAGCAGCGCTGACATGGTCCCTCTGGTTCCATACATCTGCCCTTCCACCAATGTCTAGGATGTGCAGTTCTTCCTCCCTGACTTGGCTGTGGCCCAGAGGGAAGATGACGTTGGCTGGATTTGAGGAATCAGCACAAGAAAGTTGCATGGTATCACCATGCAGGCCAGGAGGAAAGAGGAGCTTCCCTGAAGATGTCTCTGCTTTGGGGATGGAAGAGCCCTGCGAACATGGGAGGACCATAGCCAAGAAGATTCACATTGGGTGGAAGGATTTTTGAAGAGGAAAGTGGGAAGACTGGCTTCCCCTTCTAGCCAAGAGCCTGGGTGACTTTGAGTTTGTTCTTTAACCTCTCTAAACTCTTATGACAAGAGTTTGTACCAAATAATCTTCCAGCTCTGGGGCTCTGATTTTAAGGCAGATCAGACATCAAATCCTCCTTGAATCTTAGTCCTTACCCAGAGATGGTCAGATATGCCCTTTAACACAGGGTAAAATGGCTGGACGACACCAATGTTGACTAGTTATCATTGCATTCCCATGCTAGACACTCTAAATATTAATACCTCTCTTTGGGTCATCATAAATTCAAAAATAAGTTTCTTATTTTGTTTAGTGCTTAATTATTTTCTTAATGCTTTCAAAGGAAGACAATAGAGCATCATGTTTAAGACCTAAATTATGGTTTCAGCCAGACAGCGGTGCAAATATCAGCTCTTCTACATCAGCAGAATGAACTCAGGTACAATTCTTCACCCCTCTGAAACTCAGTTTCCCAAACTTGTCTCGTGAGGTTAGAGTGAGAGTTACAAGAAAAAATAAAATCAAAGTGTTTTGCACAATGCCTGCACATATAAACCCTTTAAAATTATCGATTGGGCCGGGTGTGGTGGCTCACACCTGTAATCCCAGCACTTTGGGAAGCTGAGGCGGGCAGATCACCTGAGGTTGAGAGTCTGAGACCAGCCTGACCAACATGGAGAAATCTGTCTCTACTAAAAATTAAAATAAATAAAAATTAGCCGGGCGTGGTGGTGCACGCCTGTAATCCCAGCTACTCGGGGAGGAGGGGGCGTAGGCAGGAGAATCGCTTGAACCCGGGGGGCGGAGTTTGCGGTGAGCCGAGATCGTGCCATTGCACTTCAGCCTGAGCAACAAGAGTGAAACTCCATCTCAAAAAAAAAATATGAAATGAATAGGGGCTAGAATCTGCTTGATTCCCACAACAACACTGGGAAGAAGGTATGTCTCCATTTCATAGAAGAAGAAACTAAGGAATGGAGGAGTGACAGGTTCACAGTCTCCAGCCAGTTAGAGTTGAAGTCAGGACCAGGAAGAAACAGCCTGTACCTCCCTTATATCGTTATGAAGTTTCTTAAGGCTGAACTTTCAAGAGGCTAAACTTTGAGGCAGAGAATGGGAGGAAAGAAGGGGGCTGAGGATTTAATCTTGGGGAACGCAGACAGAGGAATGGGAAGAGAAAGAACTGAAGAACGAATACTCAGGAAAGCAGAAGGGCAAGAATTTCACTGGTGCAGAAAACAAAGGATTAGATTATTTTCCAAAATTAAAGGGGGCAGGGTGTCACTAGTGTCAAAAATCATAAATACCTTGTAATTTGAAAGTAAGCATGTCCTTTATTTATTTATTCATTCTACAAATATTAATGGGGTCAGGGGGACGTATCAGGCACATCCTCGCTCTAGGAACACATTGGTCAACATGGAAGTTTCTGGCTCCTGTTCTCCAAGAGCTTATGTTCTAGCAGGGATAAGAAATACTATAAAAGTAATGAATTTTTTTTGAGGGGGTTGGGAGACCAGAGTTCTATTATTACTCAAATCAGATTCCTCAAGCATTCGGGGAGCAGTTTTTAAGGATAACTTGGTGGGTGGAGGGAAGCCAGTGAACCAGGAGTGCTGACTGGTCAGAGATAAAATCATAAGGACTTGGTGAACTAATGAATTTTTTAAAATAATTTCAGATACTGTAAGTTCTGTGAAGATTAAATGTGGACAATGTAATAGGAAGCAACGTGAGGTAGGTGGGCAGCTGAAGCAAGTACAATCAGGAAAGCAACGTTTTGAACTGAGACCTGCACAACTGGATGGAACCAGCCACATGAAGACCGAAAGTGCATTGTCGCTAGAGGGAACAGCTGCAGCAAAGTTCCTGACGCAGGAATGAGTTTGACTATGACCTCCAGTAGGGCATTGTCAGTGACTTGATGTGAACAGAGGCCAGATCATGATAATAATGAAGGAGAACTGATTTATAAGGAAAGAGTGCCTAAGGGCAGTTGACTCACACAAGAAGCTGTTCTTGAAAAGAAGGAATAAAGTGGTATTAGTGCCATTTATAGCAGAATGGGCAGTGGCAACCATTTCTATTTGGGGACCCTCTATTTCCCTTCCCATTTTGGTCATCTCCCCTCAATGCCAATATTCTCAACCAAAAAGCCACATCCTTGGAACATTCATATTAACGACTGTAGGGTATTTTTGGGGTTTGGAGATAGGAATAATCAAATCCTCCCACACCAAGGCTCCACTGACAACATCAAACCTGTTTATACTGGCAGATACTGTCATCACTCCAGCAAACACAGTTATTTGCTTTGGATCTTTATTTTTTGTTCTCTACAATTCAGGGTCACCTTTGGTTTCTAAGGCTCCCGGGAATCCTATTCCACTGTTGGTTAGTTTTGATCACTATCCTTTCCACCCTTACCCCACCCTCCCAGGTCAGATTTTAGAGCAGTATTAGCCTATAGAATTTTCTCTGATGATGGAAATGTTTGGTGTCTTCACTGTCCAGTAAAGTAACCATTTAGCCATATGCGACTATTCAGCACTTGAAAAGTGGATAGTGTGACTAGGAACTTAAATTTTAATTTATATAATTGTAAGTAATTTAAACTTAAATTGTCACCTGGGGCTAGTACCTATAGTTTTGAGTAGGTAATTCTAATGAGTTAAAATTGAGGAGAGTTCATGGTTTTCAAAGAGTCACTTTGCAAGATCTTTATGATTACTGAGAAATGCATCAATGCAAATACATAATGCCCAGGTCAGTAAGTAAGGGATTTCTTCTCAAGGAGGAAAAAAATGGAATGGATTCCATTTTTTGGAATAGATTCCATTTTGCAGAAATATTATCAGAAAATTTATTTAGCCCAAACGTGAAAAATACTACCTCTTCTGAGAAGTAATTTTTAAAGATTAGGAGTGTCCTAAGGGGTGCTGGTTTCACGAGGCCTACTTTGGTGAAAGGTGTCCATCGTCAAATAGGCTTAGGGAAGTGGGCACACTTTTTCCCTCTCTTGTAGATTCATAATGCACATTATTATAGTAAAAACTCTGAGAATTCTTACAGTAAATAGCTCTGTTTAACTATAGAAACCTCTGTGTGTGTGCGTGTGCGTGTGAGTGTGTCTGTGTAAAAAAAAATTAGCATCCTGAGAAACTAGAGAAATATTATTGGTAGAACATGGACTTGGGTTGGGGGTGGGAGGGAGGAAAGAGGGACTTGTGTAAACAATGTCAGATCTACCCTTTATTACTAGCTGTGTGACCCTCAGAAAGTCATTTAATTTTTCTGATCTTCATTTCCCTCATTTGAAAACTGGAGATGATATCTATATATCTAAGTTTATATGAGGATTGAATATAATAATATATGTAAAGAATATTATCATAATTCCTGGGGCAAGTGAATCTTCCCAGAATAGTTAGCATTATTATTTTCATGATCATTTATGAAATTATGTGATTAAATAGCTGAGATTTTCTGGACCCAGGGAGAAACGTGCTATGAACTACTAGAGCTCACTTACTGCCTAGAGACATTTTTAAGTATTGTATTGGAGACCTGGAGATGAGGGTCATCTTTTCTACCTTTCTTTATATCCAGCATTGAATGCTTTCCTGCAATCCATTCTCAAAACAACAGCCAGAGGAATCATTTTAAACCAGAAGTTGGATCATGTCACTCCTCTAGTATCTCCATCACACGCATGCAAAGGAAAAACTAGAGCCTTCATAATGGCCTCCAAGCTGTATGTGATCTAATCCACCAGTACCTCTGTTTCACCATTTTTTACTATTGCTGGTCTACTCTGGCAAACAGACCTCCTCACTGTTCCCTGGGCATGATAAGGAACACACCCACCTTAGGACCCTCTCATATCCCTTCATTATGGATCACTCCCCCAGTTATCTGTATATCTGTGTGGCTCTTTCCTTTAGATCCTTCAGTTCTTTACTGAAATGTTTCCTTCTTAACACTGCCTAAATTTACAGCACGCCCCTATCGTATTAAGTGCTCTAGCACTCTCTGCTCCTCTATATTTCTTTACTACACATCCGATATGCTATGCATTATTTATTTGTTTGTGTTTTTTCTTGACTGTTTCTACTCAATACAACATAAATTTTATGAGAGCAGAGATTTTTGTCTCTTTCATCCTCTGCTACAATTTGGTGCCTAGAACAACATCTGGCACATAGTAGATGCTCAATAAATGCTTTTTGAGTAAAGTAACACAGAAGCTGTATATGTTCTGTTGTTAGAAATTAAGTGCATTTTCTCTAAGCCCAGCGTTGAATGGCTTATTGAAGAATGAAACACACATTTCCAGGCTGGTCTCTGTGGTTTTTATTAGTGTTTCCTGGGACCCATCAAACAAATAAACATATTTTGAAAAATATAATTCTTTCATAAATCAGGAATAGTCTGAATTTAACATAGCTTAAAGGGAAAGATTTCTGATTTTTTTTTTTAATAGTAGCAATAGAGTTGTTTCCCACAAATTGTCAACCCAGGAGTCAGATGGGAAGAAAAACAAGAATTATGCAGATAGCTACAGAAAGATTAATCCCAATTTAGTTAAACTTGTGAAGGCTTGTACATTTCAGAGGTTCATAAGACATAGTCTCAACAGGAATTTTTTTTTATAAATGTTCTATCACTAGTTCCAGAAACTGAATTCCAAGAAGCAACACTGAGGATAATTCAGCTCTGATATTGTGATTACTGTGATGTTCTTTCATTCATACAGTAAGTATCTGCTCAATACATAACTACCAAGATCTATTGCATCCTACATAATTAGACAAGCTCCTCACACATATGGGCCCATGCCGTGCACATAGTAGGCACTCGACAAATGTTTGCTTAACTACAGAATAATAATATAATTGCCTTCCTTCTTAACTGTTTTACCTTTTTCTATACTTGATACATTTTAAAAACAACATGCTTGCAAAACTAAAATCTAATATGCATTACTAACTTTATCAAAAGATCCCTCAGTATTTTTCAAAAAGGAAAAAAAATAATAAAAACCAATCCCCAAATACTAAAACTTAGAACTGCTTTACACTTAAATAGCAATTTACATCATATTAACACATTCATAATCTTCATTGGTTAAAACAGGTCAAAGGTTCATTACTGGCTTCTCATACCAGATAAGTCTCACAGTTCCCAACAAGGCAACAGAATTCTCATCCAACATATGTTTACTTGTGGAACCCAACGGCCTGTTCTGGTTTCATTTCAGCGCAAGTGAAGGCAAAATAAAGAGTCTCACAGTAAAATGTTCATAGTAGATAATATGTCCTTGAAGGTTGTGCCGTTGTGCTCTTATTCCATTGAAGAAATGATTCACATCCCAATTATAGATATGGTCTCCCAATCAGAGGAGTCTTTTAGGAGACATTCATTCATTCATTGAACAAATATATGTTGTGTACTTGTTTCCTGCTAGGTAACAGGAAAATAATAGTGATTGATAAGACATAGTCCCTGTCCTCAAAGAGCTAACAGTCTAGCAAGGCAGGAACTTTGAGAAAAGACCAATGTGTTCAAAGGAAAACTCATAACCTGGATCTCCCTTCTCAGATGGCACATTCAAGAAACTGTTGTTTATGCCCCTGGGAGCCAGAGCCTTGCTTAAGTCTTACCAAGTTAACTATCTAGCAGCCTCAGATGATTTGAGCCTGGTAAGGTCTTAGCAATAGATTTGCTGCCTCAGGTTCTCATGAAAACCTAATAAGGGAGAGGCCTTTCAACTCAGGCATAAGGGGGGTTTAAGGATAACATGATTAGTGACCATGTGGACGTTCAGCACAGGTGAGCTTCTCAAGTGAGAGCCATGCATCCCCAAAAGGAAGGAGGGCTTATCCATAGGACTTTGCTCTCCCTTTCAACACTGTGGTGGGAAGTACTCTGTTCCCACCTCAAGCTGGCATAACTCGATTACTTTACGTTCTCCAAGTCACAAGCAGCACGTAGAAAATGCGGCAAACTCAAGTCAAGACAATAGAAAGATACGCTGAGAACTTAATACTCCAGCCTTAATCAGGCACCAGGTGCCAAGAAACCTTCACTCTCAACAAACAACCCAATCCACTAATTATCTGTAGAACTGTTGTAGTTGGTACTCTTCATATTCACTTACACCTTAGCAAAGATTGCTCTTGAATGGAAAGGTTGCAGAAAGAGCCAAAGCCAATTTGAAAGAAGTGAGAAACTTACAGGTTTGAGGAAGAGTGAACTCAGAGAAGGATCTAGCCTCCTTAGATGATGAACAGGCAAAGTCAGAGAAGGAACCGCAGTGAGCGCATTGGTAGATACCCCTAATAAAGTCACACAACTCAGACACACACAGACACACAAATATTCATGCATTATACCCATTCAAGTAACTGGATATTTAATTCCTTCTATGCAATGAACAGTCAAATGCTGGGAAGGCCCCATAGTTCTTTGGCCTTGCTTGTAAAGCAACATATGTCTTTTCTGCAGGAATGTCTGAGTTGCATAGTCAAGATCTTTGCTGTTCATTGTTCCTTTTCTCAGCTCTTTCAGTAACTGTTACTTGACAACACCAAGTTAAACCTTTACAGAGGTGACTAAGTCAGGCAGAAATAAAAATGGATTTGGTTGCACCTTCGGAAACTTATTCATGGGTCCTCCAAGATCATGACCTAGAATGGTTCTCATTATAATTAGGACAAATTTTTGACTCTTCCTACTTCTAGCCTTGTGAATATATTACAAACACTTTACAACCTTTGAATATGAATTGCTTACCTCTACCAGGGAAGACACTGTGGTAGGTGCTCTATTAGTTGATGAAGAGCACTCCCTCTTACTGATACATGTCTTCATTTGCATATCATTGCTGGAGAAAGACAGGTAGAATGGAGGAGCAAGCCAAGGACATGAGAGAGCCCAAAAGAAAAGCTGCAAAAGGGGTAAGAACATTCAAATCCGTTTTCAAAGTGTCTACTGATTCCTGTGCTTCCCAGATTGCATGGCTCAATGATAAGTCTCCAGGACCCCCAGAACAATTCCTCTATTGAAGAAGAAGCTTCCAACTCCTTGGTGACAATTGTGCCTGAGCTGAGTTTTCGGTTTATTTTTTTCATCCTTTCTTTCTTTTCTTAAAAACAAAACAAAACAACCCTCTGAGTAAAAAATCTAGGCAATAAACCATTCACTTGGAATCAGTTCAGATGACACAGTAAACAGATAATCCAAAAGACAAAAAATTATGAGAATTAATACCTGCAAAGAGGATTTTCCCTGGAAATTCTTTTCTTGGTGTTTCCTTCTACAATATAATTTTAATTCTGCTTTGTAATTCCAGTGAAAATGTCTTCTATTGTAGTTTCTGCTACATTACTATGTTTACCTTATCTGACATTGGCTCTCATCTGGGATTCTGAAAAGAAGTTCCTCTAGCTATTTCAACTTATTGCCCCTAACATTTAAAACATAAAGATAGGTTGAGGTTGAAGTCTTACTTTTGCTTCACTCTAAGGAACTAAAAGACCTTACATATCTTTTTCTTCTGAGAATAAACCACCATCCTCATATTGACTAGCTAAACTGGTGGTTCTCAATCAAGGGCAGTTTTGCCCCCCAGGGAACATTTGGTGATGTCTGGAGACATTTTAGATTATCACAGCTGCGGGTTTTCTGGTGTCAAGTGGTTAGAGGTCATCAGTGGATGCTGCTGAACATCTTACAATGCACAGGAAAGCCCTCACCACAAAGAACGTTCCAGCCAAACAATGTCAACTGTGCGGATTGAGAAACCTTGGACTATAGGGATACAAGAGCAAACTCTTCAGTCATTTCCACACCACCGTCTCCTTTATCCAACTTATTTTTAAGCACTTGGAGCAAAAAAGAACCAAGCTGGGCTCTCTTTTAAATAGCTAGAAGTAAGCAGAGAGGGCAATTTTTTTAAAGTATTTCACCAACCATCCAAGGGAGAGGAAGGAAGACAGCCCTGGCATCAGATAAACAATTCCTGAATGAGTATAAAGACCCCACCATTATTCTTCTTGCTGATTTAAGTATTCCAAGTCACGTGATTATGCAGAGATTATAGCCAACCTTGAGTTTTGGAAGTCCCCATTCTCCACTCACTGGATCCTAAGGCTCAGGTTAAATTTCCCAGCATTCATCCACTTTGTCCTCACCATCTGAGACCCTGGAATTCAACCCAGCAACCACGTTCACCTCCCTTGATGAAGCCATATGGATGCTTACATGTGGGATGCATCACCTTTTTCTAAATCGTGTCACATACAAAACATTTAATGCCCTCTGATTTTTTTTTCTTTCTCTCAGCAAGAAGCACAAGGCTACAAACCCTGTTACTCTTGCAGTGAAAAAGAATTCACAATAGAGGTGAAAACAAATCACAACCACATACAGCATCATATTTCACAGAAAACTGTGTACGTTTTTTCCCCATATAGGACATACTTCAAAGTAACAAAATAATTTTTTTAATCAATTGTAGTGTTTCTTCTTCCCGTTAGAAGTAGTTTCTTTTTCCCCTCATGGTACATAAATATCAGAGAAAAGTAGTCTTTGAAATATTTACGTCCAGGAGTTCTTTGTTTGTGATTAGTTGGTGTGTGTTTTGGTTTGTGTCCAAAGTATTGGCAGCTTCAGTTTTCATTTTCCCTCCATCCTCGGGCATTCTTCCCAAATTTATATACCAGTCTTCGTCCATCCACACGCTCCAGAATTTCTCTTTTGTAGTAGTATCTGTAACAAAGGAGATTGCATAAGGTGACTGATCAGATGAAGGTTGCTAGGTAAATAATGGGTCGTGCAGTCTTATCGTTTTCAGAGACATGAAACTCCTCACCTCATAGCTCGGCTGAGCTTTTCATAGGTCATGCTGCTGTTGTTCTTCTTTTTACCCCATAGCTGAGCCACTGCCTCTGATTTCAAGAACCTGAAGACGCCCTCAGATCGGTCTTCCCATTTTATTAATCCTGGGTTCTTGTCTGGGTTCAAGAGGATGTCGCGGATGAATTCCCATAAGTGAGTCCCTCTCGGGTCTGATGAAAAGCAGAAAGGGAGGTTATTAATGGCCCAAGTCACAGCAAAGGTAGGGCAGAGAGCATTGAGTTGGGTCATCTTCCTCCAAGTAGGAGATACTCATTTCTCCCCTACTTCTCAGGGAAGATGGATCACAGAATTACCAGATGTTGGACATTAAAAAGGTATTTAAGAATAAACTAGCACAGGCGGGACGCGGTGGCTCACGCCTGTAATCCCAGCACTTTGGAAGGCTGAGACGGGCAGATCACGAGGTCAGGAAATCGAGACCATCCTGGCTAACGCTGTGAAACCCCGTTTCTACTAAAAGTACAAAAAATTAGCTGGGCATGGTGGCGGGTGCCTGTAGTCCCAGGCTCAGTCCTACTCGGTCCTACTCGGGAGGCTGAGGCAGGAGAATGGCATGAACCCAGGAGGCGGAGCTTGCAGTGAGCCAAGATCGCGCACTGCACTCCAGCCTGGGTGACAGAGCAAGACTCCGTCTCAAAAAAATTAAAAATAAAAATAAAAATAAACTAGCACAATATTTTATTTTACTATTTTATTTTACAAATCAGGAAACTGAGACACAGAGAATTTAAGTGAGTTGATCAGGGTCACAGCTAACTAGTGACATAGCCAAGACTAAGGAATAGGCCTTAGGTCTCCTAAGCCACAGGGAAGTTTCTTCTAGTTATTATTCACAAACTGCTTGGGGTTCATTTCAACCTGTTACTTCCCCAAAGAGCAACTCTCAACCACTTTTATCTAGTACCTCAACCAATTAAATTGCTTTGACCCAGCAACTGTGTTTCAGCCAAATGCAAATCAATAAGGCTCTAGAATGTTTACTCCCAGACTAGATGAGGGTGGTAGGGAAGAGGGTGGTCATGCAGGGACTGGAGGACCCAAATTGAAAATGAAGCCACTACTGCAATAAGATTATCAACCAAATTCAAATTCACTCCCACTGAATTTGTCATGCCCCACCCTCACCCCACCCACTATTTGAGGGGTTGCATTAATTCAATGTTGTGGGATGATGTGGAATAACAGATAAAGACATTCTAATTCCTTATAATTTCTGGATTATACCTTTTTTTTTTTTTTTTCTGTTTTTGAGACAGGGTATCACTCTGTGGCTCAGGCTGGAGTGCAGTGGTGCAATTATAGCTCATTGCAGCCTAGACCTCTCTGGCTCAAGCGATCCTCCTGCCTCAGCCTCCCAAGTAGCTGGGACTACAGGCATGTGCCACTATGCCCAGCTAATTCTTGTATTTTTTGTAGAGATGGGGTCTCACCATGTTTCCCAGGCTGGTCTTGAACTCCTGAGCTCAAGTGATCCACCCACCTCGGTCTCCCGAAGTGCTGGGATTACAGGCCTGGATTATACCATCTTGATTTCTTTCTGTGTTCCACCCACAATTCCAAGTCTCTGATATTTCATATATGTTCATAAGATTTTATTACTGGAGGAGATCCAACTCCCAAAGAGCAGTGTTGAATCTTAAGAAAAAAGAGTCATTTCTTGGAATGGGAACTCCACAAAGGTAGGAGGTCAACATTTAGCAAAAGAAAGGATGATACATCTCAACTGGTTCTTCTTATCTCGCTCCTCTTCCCACCCTTTTCTTCTGGGAGAGATGGAAATTGCTAACCCCATGCCTGAAGCAGTTCTTAGGCACTGGGTGTCTCAGTTTTAGAGCACATATGACAGAACGAGGAGGAAATATCCAGTGAGGCTCCACTTTGAGAAACATCTGCAGAGGGGGTTACTTTGCTAGCAAGTGATGCCTCTGTTTTCTCACTCCACCCTGTTTGGGATGAAGACATGAAGGCAGCAGACAGAGGCAATATTTGCTGAAAAACTAGTGGCCTCCAGGTGTGCCCAATGTGATGGGAAGGACAAAAGGCCATCTGAAAGCCAGTCAACTTACTGTGCTTTTTGGTGTGGCACTTGGCAGGGGGGTCTTGCTCCTTTTTCGTATCAGGTGACTCTGCTGAGGAGAAAAATGAGAGCCATTTAACTGACCTATTTTCTATCATTCTCTTTTTACTTCCTGCATCTACTCATTTAAGCAAAATTTACTGAGCACCTACTGCATGCCTGGCACTCTTTGAGTATGTGCTAGTGAACCAGACAAAACAGAGATGATAAATGCTATGGAGAAAAATGACGCAGGGTAAGAAATGGAGATAGATGTATGGACTTGGGAATAATTTGCAATTTGATACAAGGTGGTCATAGGAGACCTCTCTGATTCCACTACCTAAAGAATATGAGGGAGATGGTCATGTGGAGAGCTTGTGCAACAGCCTTCCATGTGTAAGACAGAAGTGCAAAGGCCCTGAGGTTGATGTGTGTTTGGTATATGCATGCTGTAAGAGGCAGAGAGGGAGGAGCTGAGGTTCTGATCATTAATGCTTTATGGGGCTTTTAAGGACATGACTCTGAGAAAGATGGAAGCCATTGAAAGATTTAGATCATTGAAAAATGTGTGTTTTTTTTTTACATAATACAAAAATGTAAACATTTATAACAAAGGAAGATGGCTTTTAAGCCAGAGGAGTGCCCTTTTTTGGCATGCAAAGTTACATTTTAATCAGCCTGACAAAAGGGCCATTGAGTGGCCCAAGCTCAGTACAGAGGACCATAGTGGACTATGGAAACACAGATTAGTTTAACAAATGACTCATTATGGCAACCTGTGGGACTATTACCAAAGAGGAGATGATGGAGCCGGACCTGGGAAATAAAGATTCTTCTCAGAAAGAAAATTAAATGATCTAGCCACATGTGTGTGAGTGTGAGTGTGTGTGTGTATGTGTGTGTGTGTATTGGGAGGACTAAAGCAGATCTTATGAAGACTCTCACACTCAAAAACCAGCCAATTCTAATACAAAATAGTCCCTAAATACAATCCAATTATTTTAAGAAATTGGGCCAGTAAAACTGATCTCTTCCATGTGCCCTTCCTAACCTAGGGTCCTCTGACCCAGTGTGGCCTTCAAGGGCACCTGGACTGACTGAAACCATATGTGAAGGGAGAGGGTTCACAGCACGCATTCAGTTATCAGGAGAGGCCTATTATTCAAAAAAGCTATGAACTGTCAGCCATTAGCTCCTAATTAAATTGGTTAAGAAAAAAAGCTACTGTTTATTGAGCACTTACTATGTACCAGGCACTGTACTATGCACTTTACATGAATCACTTTATTTAATTCACACAATAACTCCATGAGGCAGGTACTAATATGATCCACAGTTTTCAGCTGTGGAGGATCTGAGAAACAGAGGGGTCAAATGACTTGTCTAGAGTCACACAGCTGGAATGTGGTGCCAGGGTATGAACACAAACAGTTTGAATCCAGAAGCTTTACTCATAACCACAATTCTATGTCATTTCCAGAAATGGTGGCCTACACATAATCTCCCTTTGCACATAACAGATTTCACACAAGCCTTTCCTGCCAAGAATCAGGTTCACTTCTATAATGCTCTTGTTAGTGAAAAAGATAATTTCAATCTGACAATTCTATATTTCCCAACGTTCATGGACCCTTTCACCCATCTTATCACCCAGCTAATCAAGACTCAGTGTTCCCAGCAACTTCTCGAAACGTCACGGCAGGATGGAGAGAGAGATTTAATAAGACCTCAGTAAACGAGAAACCTCTCATCCTGGTTAAGAATTTCTCTCCTGGCATTGTCACTAGCAGGGCCTGCACCTGACTTGGGTTTCTCTGAAATCCGAGAGGACGAATTCACAGGAAATGCAAAGAGACTTCACTCTCCCTCCCTGTGGGTTGCAGGGTGAGGTTGCAACATCCCATCAGGATGTAACAATATTGCGACAGGTCTGGCATCCACTCCGGTTTCCAAGTGATACATCACTCTGACAGGGCCACGTTGTACTGCAGACAAAGAGTGGCATTTACCCAGCAGCAGGCCACAAGCAAAGCTCGTTTTCAAATGACATCCAGGAGGGATGCAGGGCCATTCTTTCAGAGCCAGGAGTTGAATTCAGAAAAATACAAGAGTCTCAGTATACTGGCCTCAATTACTGCTTCTGGGTTCCTAGTTGATCTAGAATCAGTTACTTTAGAGTTCAGGTTCCTTTGTGAATAAGATGAAAACGTTGGACCCTCTCCTCAGAAAAAATGCACATATATGCACACATGAAATTTTGTCAACAATTTCAGGGGGCTGTGGCCCATGTAGCAGTCCGTGGACTCTAAAACCCCTAGGCCAGATAAACCATGAGGAAATATTCTTTGAGTTATCAGCCATTTACCCAAGCTAGGCTCCATCCAGTTTAGGAATGTTCTTTTGTTAATCCCCAAATAAAAATCTTTCCATCATCATAAAAGGGAATAAGCAGTCAAAGGCAAAAGAAAAACCTAACTTCTTCCAGCCCCCTCTTCCTGTTGCAGTGTGCAGGGATAAGCCATGGAATCACTGGCCTGCCTTACCACTGATATCTTTTGATCTTTAACCTCGCTTTAATATGTGTCCTCCTTCTGCCCTAGAATAAAAGTCAAGACTTTGAAGTTAGCCATGTGGTTAAGTGATTCATTCTTATAAAATAATGGCTTGCCCCGGAGAAGTTGTCCAGCCTGGCTTTCTCTTGCTCGGCTCCCAGGCACTCCAGGCCAACGTCCATCCGGTCCAGGCAGGGACAGCAACAAGCCACAGGTTTGTGATGCCCGTGCGAGAGCATGACTTCAGCTAAGCTGCTTCGCAAGAAGCAAAGATTAGAAGCATTTGCATATGATTCAGCTGTGAGCCATTTCTTTACGGGATATACAAATTTCAGTGTTCTAATAGACCGTGCCACCCTAGCTTTAGGCTCAACAAGTCAGTGGATAAACACATCAAGCCCAAGCTGGCATGACAGGCTGGAGGACTGTCGAGCAGAACAGGACACTGGCAGCGGGCATTTTATGAAATGGGCAGATGACAGAGAAATCAAAACAAAGCCTGTTTCCCCACCTGCGTTTATCACAGAGGGCATCAGTTTACGCTGAGCCTCGCCTTAGCTCAGCTGGTAACTAGCATTCAAACATAGAAAGATATTTCACTGCATTCAATTTCACGGGAACTTGAAATATAAAGACTCAGGCAAATGACCAAGGTTTTCCCTGGGGTTCTGGTTCCATGCAGTAGAGACTATCAACTATTCTGAAAGAAACTGACCCATATAAGGCTGTAATTAACTATCCTACTGAAGGGCTATTACCCCAACTAATACACCAACCCCAGAGACTGCATTGATTCTTTAGGGCCTGGGTGGTTGATCTCATTTTCCAGCCTGGTTTACAATTACAGGATAGGAATGGGGAGCTGCAGCAAACAAGGATCAGAAGGATAAGGAGAGCAGATTCCTGAACTCATCTTAAGAAGGACTATTGAAAAATACAACCGGTGGACTCGGGAGACAGTGAGTTCCTTGCTGCTGCAAATGCGAAAGCAGAAACTGGTCTCTAAGGCCCCTGTTGATTTTGAGATTCTAGAAGGTGTAAGTCAAGATGTAGAAAAGAGGATGGCCCGGCTGTCAGGGCAGCAGAGCTGTAACTATGACGTTTTGGTTTCCTGGGTACCTCAAGACACACTAGCCCCTGAGGCTCAGGAAGTGGTTGGTTCAGCTTTATTCTTAGTTGGAATTTTTTGCCATAAGTCAAAGACCCAACTGGAAGGATGGAAGGATGTGGGAGATGACACTGTAGGAAGTCGCAGAGGAACTCAGAGTGTGACTCGGGAGGTTTCCTTAGCCCTGAACCCCGTGGTCTTGACTGAGTGGTAATGATTGCCACAGAAATTTTACCTCGGTTGGCTCAGTTCCCCCAGAATAGCAAATACACAGCCAAGCCTTGACAGTATTTGATCTATTTCCTAATTTTAACAAATACTTCAAGTGACACATAATGCTAAGGGCTACTAGGGGAAGGAGAAGTCGAGAGCTACGTTGGCCTCAGCTTTTAACCTCAAATCCAGAAGCATTTACACTGGCTCCCAGCCCCATCTCATTTAAGGGGCTTGACCCAAACAAAACCTCAAACTAAAACCTTTCATTATTTCAGTTCTCAAAAGCAAAAACAAAAACAGAAAGAAAAAAAAAAGAAGGAAGGAAGGGTTGCAGACTAATTTCTTTCACAAAGACCCAATTAAATCCCAGTTCTGAAGTTGCTCCAAATTTAATTCCAGGAGAGAGGCACTATCACTTGTGACTGATGTCTAAGTGCCATTTCATAGACCCAAAGAGATCCACAACTTTGTACCCAGATCACAGGAAACCATAAGATCCTCTTTCAACCAATTCCCACGGTGTACATGCCAATGCGCCTATTTGTAGGTGGGGGTGGTAATCTGAAATCCCCTCTCCCAGACTCCTAACATCCCAACCTTCTCACCCAGTGTAACCTTGGTTAAGAAGCATGGATAGCCCCAGTTGCATCCAACCTTAACCAAATGCAGCTAATGTGAACATAACTCATAAAATGCAGGTGCTCTGACTGATTAGAGAGCACTGATAAGTCATCAGAATTAGACTTAAAAACTGACAAAATAGTGTAACTGTGGGGATTCTGGAAATTTCCAATGGCTGCCCTTTCACCCAGAAACCATCACTACAGGTTCACGGACCTTTGAACTTCACTATGAGGTATTCTTCCTCTAAAGCCAAATGTAGTTTGTTGAAAATTAAATATAGCCTTATTTCCCATAAGTATGCCCAAATACGAATAATTTTATCAGCTATATTGCAAGAGTAAGTTTTCGTTGAAAATAAAGAAAACCCTAAACAACTTTTATTGTCACAACAGAGTGACTAGTTTTACAGGAGACCAACATTTTGCCTAGAGGATCCCTACTGGTCATCTTCAATGTACAAATATTGCCTCAAACACAAACCTCGTCTAATGGTAACTCTATTCCTTCCCTAGCCCTTCAATTAGAAAGACTCCAGCAAGGCAGAAATGTAGATTGCTGGTAATTCCCACCAATTCTCCCTAAGTATTAGGCACACCCAGCCTCAGATGTGATGACAGCTTACCAATAGGAAGGTGACTGGTGGTTGTCATGGAGATCTGAGCCCGGCAGAAAGTTTTGCTGTCCAACAGATCTGTGGCCATGAAAAGATAAAGGACATTTAGAGTCCCCCCACCTCACAATAGAACACTGCAACTCTTAGACAAACAGAATAAGAACGTAAAGGGCCTTAAGTGTCAGGGAGTTAGTTACCTACTGTGCTACCATAGTTGGTGTCATATAAATAGTTCTCATCTTTCCAGGTGTTCATGATGGAAGGGTCTACAAAAAATAGAGAAGGAGAATAGTCAGTGATCATTTTCCCCAGGGAGAAGAGGCTGCGTTTTCTAACTCATTGTTTATCAACAAGGTATGGTGGGGTGAGGAGTGGTCCTCAGAGACAAGGGATACGATTCTGCTTCAGTTGCATTACTTTATAATAATGTTGTCTAATTTTCCTTTCAGCATCCTTGGGGAAATGGCCTCATCCACGTGTTCCATACCTATTGAATTTTTAGGGCAGTGAGAGAAGTTGCAAGAATGGGAACCTGTCCTAGACCAGTGGTTCCTGGGAATTTTCCTAACCTGGCTTGGCATTGTTTTGCATTCTACTGCATAATCACCACAATATTTTTACCCTGGGGTGTGGTGAGGGGAAGGCCTTGTGAGGAATGAATTTATTTAAATGTATAATAAATAATTAACAAGTATCTTTTTCTATTAATGTCTTCCTTGGAGGGTTAATGATGTTTCTTTCAGGAAGAGTCTAGTCAATCTTATCACAGTTTCTTTGTTGCTGAACTCCAGAGATTTGTCATCCAAGTTGGATGACAGTCCCCTCCCTCTAGGATTTTTCCAATTAGCTTAAAGGATGACATAAAATTCTCAAAACAAAACCAAGGAGAAGGGGTGGAGACTGTTACTAAATCAAACAAACACCTTTTAAGAGTGGAGCCCCATTGCCCCATCGCAGAAAAGAAGTGCTCTTGTACTCTGTCTCTCTCTCTCTTTCTTCTGTGTGCTGCGGTAAGCACATCTCACTTTGATTGACTCTTCAGATTTCAGATTCAAAGGGAACTCCCCTCCACCTACCCCAAATGGAGCTCAACTCCCACACAACCCCCAGATCTGGGCTGGTCTCCAACAGAAGCATTTTGTTTCTTGGCTAGCCAAAAGCTGTAAGATCTCTCACCTTGTCCTCACCAGAAACTTCCTGCTTTCTCCTTACCGCAGACCTAGGTTACCCTCAGCTCCCCTCCTTGCTAGGTTCTGAGTTTTAGGGCCGGGGTGTAAGCCACTGACTGAGTTTCATTTTGTTTTTATAGCACAAATGATATAAAACCTGACTTACTGGCTAAGTCCTCCTGTTTACGACATAGGGATTTAGCCGGTATTTTAGCTAATAGCTACATGTTTGGACACCCCAAGCCCAATCTCTTGGGGTTACACCCTCTCTCCTTGTTGGGTCACCTTGTACACCTGTTGTTGTCTCTGAAAACAAACTGAACCAAAGAGGTTTGGGGGTGTTGGCCCCTCTATGAGTGTCTTCTCCCCTCCTCCTAGGGTGGACCTTCTTCTCCACCCTTCCACTCAGCTTTTCTGAACTGGCAACACAAGAATGTCTGGATGGTCAAGAAGGAATTATCAAGTTATTTAGGACCTCTCCAGTATTACCCTGGCTCCTTCAGTGGGGCTCTCTGTCAGGTCAAGCAGGGGAGGGGGTGCCATCCTCCTGACCAAGTCCTGCATCCATCTCCAGGGCAATGCCAGGCCCGTAAAGCACAGAACATCCAGATGGCCCATCTCCTGGCCTCTGAAGAGAAGGGCATGGCTAGCAAAGCCTAATTCGCATGCTTAGCAGCTATTGCTTTTTTCTTTAATAATGAATGGTAGGCCAGCCCACTTATAAAAGGGTAAATAACTGCATGGGCCAATTTTGGCCCCAAGTGACTCACAAATCACCTGCATGTCAAATTCTGTCCTTGGTGACTGGGAAACATCCTCAGAGAGGCCTGTGGCAAGCTTGGTTGGCCCATGTGGCTCACAGGCTCCCTGGCATGAACATGGGGAGTGACCTAGGAGCAAGAGTCGCTGCACAGTTTTATGATGGCTCATAGACTTTGGAGGACAGTCTCCAGGAGACAGATTTAGGACAGGGGAAAGGAAATGAAAATGAATGTAGATGCTATGGAACTGTAGCCTCTGCTCAGAGCCCAGAATTGTGTCCTTCATATAAAAACACACGAAAGGCAGGAGCTGAGTTGCAGGTACCTTTGTGCATCTCTGCAGAAGCTCCCCAGGGCCCCTAAAAATTTGTTAGCTACAACACCAAGTCAACATCTTCCCCCTTTTGGTGAAACACACTCCCCTCAAGGGAGGAGGGAGAGAAGAGGAGACATTGCCCCTTCCTCTTCCCTTTCCAAACTCGGCCAAGTCCAGTCCCTGACACTTTTTGTAGTGGGGAGGCCCACCTTATATTCTGCACTTCCTTGGCTACTGGCCTGAGGTCTGGATGATGCCACAACCAGGAGTAGGAGGTAGAGAAGTGTGGCTTCCCAGAAGTCTATAAATCGGAAATAGGTGGCAGTCACTGGTCACAAGGGCAAGAATGAGGTTCATGGTGGGGGTGGCCTATCAGAGACAGCCAGAGAAAAGGCCTCCCTGTATTTCCTGCAAAAACTTGCTCCCACATTCTCTCTTGCCCTCTCCCAACTATCCTCCCCAGAGCTTTGCCTGACTAGATTGGCTCCCTTTGCCCACTACTACTCACCCTGGCAACACAAGAATGTCTGGATGGTCAAGAAGGAATTATCAAGTTATTTAGGACCTCTCCAGTATTACCCTGGCTCCTTCAGTGGGGCTCTCTGTCAGGTCAAGCAGGGGAGGGGGTGCCATCCTCCTGACCAAGTCCTGCATCCATCTCCAGGGCAATGCCAGGCCCGTAAAGCACAGAACATCCAGATGGCCCATCTCCTGGCCTCTGAAGAGAAGGGCATGGCTAGCAAAGCCTAATTCGCATGCTTAGCAGCTATTGCTTTTTTCTTTAATAATGAATGGTAGGCCAGCCCACTTATAAAAGGGTAAATAACTGCATGGGCCAATTTTGGCCCCAAGTGACTCACAAATCACCTGCATGTCAAATTCTGTCCTTGGTGACTGGGAAACATCCTCAGAGAGGCCTGTGGCAAGCTTGGTTGGCCCATGTGGCTCACAGGCTCCCTGGCATGAACATGGGGAGTGACCTAGGAGCAAGAGTCGCTGCACAGTTTTATGATGGCTCATAGACTTTGGAGGACAGTCTCCAGGAGACAGATTTAGGACAGGGGAAAGGAAATGAAAATGAATGTAGATGCTATGGAACTGTAGCCTCTGCTCAGAGCCCAGAATTGTGTCCTTCATATAAAAACACACGAAAGGCAGGAGCTGAGTTGCAGGTACCTTTGTGCATCTCTGCAGAAGCTCCCCAGGGCCCCTAAAAATTTGTTAGCTACAACACCAAGTCAACATCTTCCCCCTTTTGGTGAAACACACTCCCCTCAAGGGAGGAGGGAGAGAAGAGGAGACATTGCCCCTTCCTCTTCCCTTTCCAAACTCGGCCAAGTCCAGTCCCTGACACTTTTTGTAGTGGGGAGGCCCACCTTATATTCTGCACTTCCTTGGCTACTGGCCTGAGGTCTGGATGATGCCACAACCAGGAGTAGGAGGTAGAGAAGTGTGGCTTCCCAGAAGTCTATAAATCGGAAATAGGTGGCAGTCACTGGTCACAAGGGCAAGAATGAGGTTCATGGTGGGGGTGGCCTATCAGAGACAGCCAGAGAAAAGGCCTCCCTGTATTTCCTGCAAAAACTTGCTCCCACATTCTCTCTTGCCCTCTCCCAACTATCCTCCCCAGAGCTTTGCCTGACTAGATTGGCTCCCTTTGCCCACTACTACTCACCAGTTTGTTCAGTCTTGACTATGACATTGTGTGTGGACTGGAACAGGTCACTACTGCACTGGCCTGTGAAGGACAGATTGGGATAGTCAGAGAGGATGGAACCAGAACTGGGTGCTTAAATAAGGACAGAACTGGCTTCTTTGCAGAGCTTCTGCCATCCTACTGCCTGGTCATCTATGTTTGTTTATGGGAGGGGGTTTCTCTGTTAGCCTCTACAAACTCAAGCCTGCAGTCTCTGACCCCAGAAAATCAGAAATCTAAGGCACTACATTAGAAGCAATTCTTTGATGTGGTATAGTAAAGGCATCCAGTATGGTGGAAATAGAACTTCAGAAGCCCTGTTTTTCCACTACTAGCTATGAGGAAGGTGTGTGCCCTTTACCTTTCTGGGTCTCAGTTTCCCCATCTGTAACAAGATTAAACTAGATAAGGTCACTAGATGACTTCTAAGGTTCTTTCCCATACTAAGATATGATATGAAAATGAAAGTGTAGGGAAAACCATTTTAACTAGCTTGATTCTTCTTTGATTTAAAATTTAATCAAAGCCATCATGATTACATCCAATCTGTGAGATATGTCTGGACAAAATGCAGTGACTCTTTCCTTATTTATGTCTCAGCACATGTACAAGCAGTGCACGTCACATGTCCTTGTTTGCTTGCAATTCCTCTCCCATTATCATATATAAAAGCATATATATGCATGCTCATATATATATATATACACACACACACACACATATGTAAATGCACAAATGAATCTAGTATGCTTTTCTTCCCCAGACAGATTATAAACATCTCAAGAGCGGAAGTCATGCCTTTAACCTCTCTGACATTCAGTCTTCCCACCTGTAAAATGGGCACAATATTTACTTTGTTGTAAAGTTATTAAATGAATTAACTCACTTACAGTGCCTAGTATAAGTAAATACTCAATAAATGTTAGTTAATAGAATGTCTACACAAAGGCAAACAACAAAAGAGTGAGAAATCTGGCTGGACGTTAGGAACTCAGAGGCTACAGCAGCATGCGGTGAGACCAAACAAGCCATGGGAGGTCAGAGAGGGAAGGTCTAAGATGGCCACAGCACCTCCCAGGCCTCCCTGCCTCAGGCCTCAATTAGGGTAAAGCTTTAAAAGAGTGGATTTAATTGGGGGTGGAGGTAAATATTTTTAATTATTCAAGTGTAAGTCTGATCTTTCTGAAGATTCCTGAGGGTTATTTATAGAGCCTTGTTTGGTTTGATTCCAGTCAAAGAAAAATGAGCAGCCACCAATGTGAGGTGGGTGGGAAGCAGGGTGTGGCCAGGGAGTTGAATGACATCATCTAAAATGGCCTCCGCAGCCACAAGCTCTGCTGCAAGGCCCCAGGTTCTCTCAGTGTTGATGGCTGTTGCCAGGGTATGACTCTGGTTCACAGCCCTGGAGCTCATGCTGCCCAACTCCCGGTTACTTGCCCAAACATGGGTTCTACCAAGACATAAATGCCTTTTCCAGTGCGAACAGGCCAACTCCCTGTTCTTAAATATTGCTACTTTTCAGGATGCCCATAGTTCTCAGAAGGGCTAGATTTTTACAGCCACTATCAGGGGAACCTTATGCCAGTGTCAAAACCATTCTGCAAGGTCAGTTGTCCACCCTACTAGGTCTTACATGTCATTATAGGATGTGTTCGTGTGTGAATAATCTACCATTCAAGGACAACATCTGGAGTGGTGGCCCATCCCTGTGCTAGGGGAAGCCTCAGAGAGACATCTGGGACATTAGGGCAACAGAAATTCCAGAAACCACCACAGAAACATTCCCCATACACATATCTAGACCATATGTTCTAACTCTTTTTTTAAGTTACAGACCTTTTAAGAATCTGCTGAAGTACTATGAGTCTTTTCCCCTCCCAAAATACAAACATAGTTCTAATTTCATATATCTTCTTACCACCCTTAGGACCCTATCTTAAGAACCTAGGTCTAGAAGGTTGTTTGAGGTTGTTTGTGTGTGTGTGTGTGTGTGTGTATGTGTGTGTGTGTGTGTGTGTGTGTTTTGTTTGTTTGTTTGTTTTGTAACCATGATGATCTTTAACAAGCAAGTGACTGGATGTTAAACTATTGAACCCTGTTTGCAAAGGAAAGAAGAAGACATTTTCCAAGGGTAGTAAATACTCTATGAATTCCTAGCCAGCTTTTGTCTTCCTGAGAATTATCACCATAAGGAGAGGATTAAATTACACTGGCGTTTATAAGGGATTAGACACACCAGGTACCCTAGGCTTCAATCCTGTCCTCTCATCTTCCTTCCTCTTCCCTGTCTTGGGACATGGTAATTTGGAAGTGAGACCACTCTTTATTGTCCCTGACAAAGAATCCTGTCATCTGCAGAATCTCTGTTCTTCCGGCTGGCTCCTAGCAGGGTAAGGAGAGACACAGAAAGAGAGAGTCACCATTCCACTTAAGATGCTGCAAGTTGCTGTAGAGGAGCTGCCCCGCCGTCCCTGCCGCTCGGGTGAACTCCTGCAAACTCATGCTGCAGAGGTGCTCGCCGTTGATGTCGAACTCTTGGAAAGGGATACAACTGGCATCCAGCTGGTTGGTGTCCAGGAGGTGCTGGAGCCACTCCCACACCTGGTACTTGGTCCAGTACTGAGGATGAATTTCATGCCACTGGCCTCCAAAAAACCCGCTGGAAACTGCAAAACAGGAGGCAGTCTCGTGAGTGACCCCTGGCTGTTCCTGGCCATAGTATCTGACACAGGGATGCACTATTGGCGGCCAGATATCTCAGAGACACAGCCACAGTCAGTGTATGTGCCAGCATGGTGGATGCAGCAGAAATGCATATTCATGTCCTCCCTAGCATGCTATCTACCCCTGGGCACTGGATGAGAACAAGAGAGCTGAAGTGCTCAGAGCTCATTCCCCTCCTCACTCACAGTAAAATATCGTGAGAGCTAGAGCATTGCTATCATTTCAGCAATTTATTAGCTTATTGTTCATACCCAAATAGTTCTGCTCCTCTTTTCTCTCACTCACTCTCTGTCACTTTTTTCTCTCTTAAACACACACACACACACACACACACACACACACACACACCCCCCAAACTCAGACCATTTTCAACCAAAAATAAGGCCTGAAATTAAGGTTCTTTTCCATATGATGCCTTTGCTTTTCCTCAAAGTGGTCCAGATTATTGATCTGCTAACTGGACTGATATCCCACTGCCCCAGCCTAGTCATTATAGCTATCATGATGTCACTTCCCCACTCAGTTACCTTTAGTAGTTCTCATCACCCACTGAAATTAGGTATAAAGCTGCCTAGCTAGGCATTGAGGCTCTTCACTAACTCTTGTCTTTTTTCTGTGCTGTTCTTTCAGTTCAGCTTGTGTTCTACCTCTCACTCCTGTTGAATTCCTACCCATCTTTCAAACTCTGACCACCCCTTAAAATCATCACCAATCCCCCCAAATTGCCTCAAGGGCTCACTGTCCTCTTACTCTCCAGGAGACATGCTTGGTATTTCTCCTAATGGCTTTGTCATGTTCTGCTTTTCTCTACAAGTCTCTAAGTGCCGTCTTATTCTCCTTTGTAAATTGTATACTTGAGGTCACAGACTGGTTTACTCCTCTTTGTATCACCTATAAAAATGACCTCAGAGACCTTGCCATAGTAGATGCTCACCATATATTTATTTAATGGAATATGTTTTTGAAGAAGAAATAAGGTAGACATCTGAGGAGCTGGGAGGTGCATTTACAAGATGGTGCATTCAGATACTGATGAAGAAGTGCAGTTCATTCACCTGGATAAATATTGCTGAGCCTAATATGTGCTAGCCATCTAAATATGTGACTCATGCTCACTTAAAAAAAAAACATTCCATAGCCCGCCCGAAGTTTTGGGGCAATGGAAAAGACAGAGCCAGCATCTGAGGGCATGGAACAGGGTTGAGAGAGCTTACAGTTCCCTTGAGAATAGACGTCGGCAAGGAGCTCTCTTTCAGGAAAGGTGAGTGAGAGGGGCAAGAGGCAAAGACTATTGCATCCCACTAAGCTGAAGCAAGGGAAATCCAACTGAACATGACACATGGATATTCCAGCAAACTCGAGGGTGGACCAGTAGAAGAAAATGTAGTGCAAGAAAACTGTCTCTAACTTTTTCTTCAAGGTCACACCAGATCAGTTCTTCTCAAAATTTAGTATGATCGTGAATCACCAGGGAATATTGTTCAAATGCAGATTCTGATTCAACAGGTCCGGGGAGAGGCCTGAGTTCCTGCATTCCTAGCAAGCTTCCACATGATGCTGATGTTGCTGGTCTATTGAATTACAAGGAGCTAAAGGCCTTAGAAAGGTTTGACTCCCAGAACGCCCATAGTCCAGCCCACAACACCCTCAGAGGAGAGACTGAAGGGGAAATGTTTCTGACCCAATCCCTCTTCTTCCTCATTCATTCAGAATCCATCCATGGCTTCCAGACCTCAGAAGCACTAAGAGCAGGAAGTCAGGTTTATCTAGTGCACAAAGGTGACCGCCATTAGCAATACCCACCACTCACAGTATGCACTTAGCTCCTCGTACCTCATGGCCAAACAAAAGCAGCCCCCAGTCCTCAACGTGGGCTCTAAAGAGGAAGCCAATAGTCAGGGGTTGGGGGAGGAATGGAACGATCTAATCCAAAAATCTAATTATATGGAAATAGTCCCAGATACACAGACCTTGGGCTGGATCTTTCTATTTCCCCCAATTTTTGGTGCCTCACAAATAAAGCTGTTTAAGGATGGAAAATATATTTTTGTGGCTCCCCAAGTCTTTCATCTTTCTTTTTCTAAAATAATTCTGATGCTATGACAGTACAGCTCCGGTTTTGGCAACAAGAGGCACCAACTTTTAATAACCTAACAGCACATCTAGAATAATCTCATCTACAAACTTAATATGGTCTAGATTAAAAGATAGTCCCTACTAGTGTATCTTGTTCAAACTTGGGAAAATCAGGGATTTTTGTCTGAAATTAACTGGGGAGATTCCACATCAGACAGAGAACCCACCAAATTCCTGAAGTTTCAGGAGAAACAATAAAAATTCCTATGAGTTCACATCCTCTCTGCCATTCAACTGATCTCCTTCTCCTCTTCAGTCTTGATCAAGGCTGAGCTTTGAGATCTCTGGAATTTAAGAAATAAAAGTGGCACCCCAGTTCTACTTCCTGCTGAACACATTTCCCCAACTTTCTTCAGAGCAAGCAGGAGAAATGCTGCCTTCATTGAGGGGCCAGGGTCCGGGGAATGCCAAGACTTCCAGTTTTATTTGGAATCCACTTTCTGGGTCCTCACAGGGTATCTGAGGCTCACAACAGAAAATGCAACTGCCCAGAAAGTGCAGCAGTTTTGGGGAGGGGGGGAGCAGGTGACTGCGTAAGGGAAGCTTACCTGCTCACCCTTTCAACCATGTTTGACTAGGATTCCAAATTAAAAGAGGTGGAGCTCCACATGGATCAGCACTCCCTGCAGAATAACTCTCCCATTATCCTCCCACTCCTGCTTCCTCCCAAGCTCTGGTCACCAACAGACCATCTCCATATTTCAAAGCAAACTCAAACAGCAGAGCCTCTGGCAGGGAGATTAGCAGTGGGTGTGCATCAAGAAGAGGCCCAGAGCTTCCTAAACTCACTGTTGTTGGATGCACAGCTGAATGCCTAAGCTGGACGGCTTCACAATGGGGTGTGGGGTTCCTGATTCAGCAACAACTTGATTCAGGGATTCAACTTGATTTAGGGATTCAGCTTCATTCAGGAAGCCACAGGCTTGATCACCAAACTCCCTATACGCCCCACCACCAGGACCCCTCTTCTTCTAATAGACGTGTTCTAGATTAAAGCACTAGGGAGAACACCTGTTCTCCTTACAAATCTCCTCTCCCCTTTCAAAGAGAGGCCACTGGAAGATGAAAAATAAAGACTAAACTGCTATAACCCTCTTCTTCCTAACCTCCATGCACACACACATACACATGCACACAGACACCCTTTTTCTCCTAGCCTATCTTGGTATCCCAGCAAAACACTATTAAAAGCTTCAACAGGGAGTCTTTCCTTTAGGCATCTCTTCTACCCGCCTCACTGCCAGGCTGTCAATCTGGAACCTTTAATTTTGGGAGGAGGCAACAGAATATCTCAAATGAGCTTTTGTCTGGAACCCTGGGGGCCGGTAGGGAACTCCGAAATTGAGTTTTCTCCATTCCTTCTTGTCCCACATCTTCTGCTGAAAAGCCTATATTTTTCAAACATTAGGCTGGGAGAAGAAGTAAAGCAAAGAGTCCCCACAGCACAGCAGTGACACCAACACCCACGGGCCCCCTTACCATTGCACGTGGAGTAGCTGTCTGTCCAGGCTGGCGGCTGGTGAAGGAGGTTGTTGCCGGGGTTGAGATTCATTACACCACCTCCTTCCAGAATCATGATCTGTTAGGGGATCAAACAGCCTGTTCAGTCATTGCCTCTTGGACAAATGTCATTTGAAAGTGCAGATCACAGAGTAAATTTAGGAAGAAAATAAAGAGAATTTGTCCTTCCACCCATTGCCTGCCACCCATTGCCAAAGCCTTTTTTGTAAAAGCAAAACTCACAGCAATTAAAAATTTCCAGGTTCAATTTTCATATGCATGAGGCAAGTTTTTACAGCCACCCATTCATAAATGAATAATCTCTGATCAGGAATGAAGCGGGAGGAAAATGCAATACCTGCTCCCAGGGCGAGGCTGGCTGGCATCCAAGTGGTTTTTTTTTTTTTACAAAAGTGAAAATGCCAAAGAGATTTTATTTAAAGTATTTAAAGTGCAATTTCAATCAATGAAAATCCAAGCTGGTGGCAGCACAACCCCAGCACCTGTGTGGGAGCTCGGACGGCAATTGCACCTGCACACCCAGTAACAAGTTTTCTCAGTGTGGGTGTCTGCCACAGGCTGGGCTGGTCATCAGACGGCCTCAGTCATATTTTAATAGAGCTCTTCAAGTATCTGGCTTTGCAATAATATCAGGAATCAGTTGGTTTCTCTGACAGACACTGCCCATTTCTGATAAAGAAAAAAAATTTTCCTTTCTGGTAACAATTAAAACCATTTTTTTTCTCTCCTGTTAGAGACCTGGAGAATTTAGTGGGTTTCCAAGCTGACCTAAGTAAAAGTGGCTTCCTCAGTCTGTGGGATCATTTTCTCAGTAAAGGACTTGGGAGAAGAGATTTCTTCTGTGGGCCTGTTTGGGTTTATTTTATAGCAATGTAAACATTTTACACTTCAGAAATACTGTCTTCAATTCTCTGGTATTTATAATGTCCCTACTCCCAAGCGGGGCACCCTCCACCTTTCAGACCACAGCCCCAACTGTGTGTTCAGTCATTTAAACGAAGAGCAGCCTGTTTCCAGATCACTATTGGGCAATACCCAGAGGCTGTAAAAGTCACTTGCTCTTTATAAAAATGTTGGGGTAGGGAGAGGAATTCAGCTTTATAGCAGCAATTCATGGAAAATTTTCTGCCTGTTTTGGGGAAATTTTGCATCCTAGGGTATTATCAATGTCCACAGGAGTAAAATTGCCACTCCAGAGGATTTTCAGCCCTTGGCATTCCGTCCCCTAATTTAGCTACCACTCCTCTGGTTCTGTGTAGGGCCTGTCGAGGGGGAAGGGGGGGTCTGCAGAAGGCATACGAATATATTTATGTATTCATTTATTCGACAAGTATTTATCAGCCTAGTAATAGGCTGGGCACTATTCTAGGTGCTGGGGAGACAGCGGTAATTAAAGGCTGAACTAGGCTGCACACAAACATGTATGATGATTATTAGCACCATCATCACTGTTGTTTGGTAAATAATTAGGACTGAAGTCTAAGTAGAAGGTGGAGAAGGAAAGACAGGTTAGGGATGGTGGACATTATAACAGCAAAGAGCCACTGGGTGGGAAGGTAAAAGAGCTGGATTCTATGCCCTGGCACCATGTATTGGAGCTTTGAAGCCAGAAGAGCTGGGGTCAATTCCAGGTCTTCCCACTTACTAGGTTAGTACTCACCCAGACATGTTACCTAACCTCTCAGAACCCCAGTGTTCTCATATGCAAAATGCAGCTAATCATACCTCGTCTGTACATTGGTTGGAGATTAAATGAGTTTCTGTACCTCGAGCACCTGGCACAAAGTAGGGCACGAGTACACGTCAGGTGCTATGATGAGAAGCGTCACTAGCTCTGTGGATAGGCTGAACCAGAAATGACGCTGGGCCTCAGTTTCCCCACTTGAAAATTTAAAGATGGTGACTATACTGATTCGTAAGTCCCCTTTCTGAAAACCTCTTTGATTCCTACCCTCAGAGAAAGAAAACAAACTCATATCAAACCTTCTTTTCTTTTTCACAATAACTGGGCATTTTCCCATCCAGCTTTGTAGAGCAATTGCCCTAAAGCTAAGAAATCAGATTGGGAACTTCAAGGCGAAAGAAAGTCTCTAAGTCCCCAGACCGGGTGGCTGGGGGAAGGAGGGGGGCCCAGGGCCCAGTCTCTTGTTTGCTCAAGGCTGGGCTTGTTCCTTGCTAGCATTTGCTCAACCACAAGCAGTGGAAAGGTTACTGTTTAACCCTGAAAGGGCTGAAGCTCAGAGCCCAGCCCATTTGCAAGGAGGGATTGGCCTTCCAGGCTCAGGCAGGACAGGCAGGGGAGGGCTTCTCTAAAATTCTTTCACAAGGATTTACCTGCGGGGTTGTTTCAAAGTGGTCATTTCAGTGGCAGCACCTGCCTGGGCCAACTATGCTTCCTGACAAACCGAAAGCAGGGTGGCGTGGAGGCTGAGCACGCAGGCTTTGGAGCTGGAGAGATGCAGACTCAGATTCCAGTTCCCCTGCTTCCCGTGGGTGACCCTGAGCCAGTGCCAAGTCTGTCTAGCCAAATACATTCTGTTCCTCACTTTCTGTACCTGATAAATGGGAACAATACAAACTCAAAGGGCTGTAAGAATCAAATGAGGTCATGCACATAGAGAGCTCGGCAAGTAGTGAAAAAATAAAGAATTTAATAAATGTTGCAGAACAATATGGGCCAGTTCTCCACCTGTGGCCAAATGCCCACAAGCCCCTCTCCTCAGGACCGACGTCATTTTCCACCCTGACCTTCTGGAAGCATCCAGAACTTCTCCTAACCCGCAGAGATGCCTTTAAGACTATGGGATGGCAGCTGCCCCATCGCTATCCTCCCACAAAAAGATGGCCTGTGCACAGCCCTGCTCCCTGCTGGCACTCCCTTTCCAAGGAAAAGCAGCCAGCATGGTGAGGGGCCCTTTTTTACAGGGCACATTAAGTGGTTTCCACTCATAAAAGAGTTTGTGTGGCTTAACCCTTAGTGAGTCAGAGTTCACTTGAGCTCACCTGGGCTTGTAAGCAAAGAAGGTCAGAATCTCCGACCGGGCAGGGAGCTCCAAGGAAAGATGTCCTCAGGGAGGGCACATGAGGTCCATGGCCAGTGTAGCTGAAGGCCTTTGGCCAAGTCCTACCCTCCTCTGAGGCACAGTTCTTCAGGTGTAGAGTGAAGACACTTGCCCCCAACGGCCTCACAGGACTGTTGAGATGGAATGAGATCATGGATAACAAATGTGACTTGAGAGTTGTGAAAAAGCCTTGTTATAACCAACTGACCCACACCCCCATATGCTAATGTAGATTTTCTATGGTATATAGTAATTGCTTTCTGGGGTATACAAAGCAATCCTTTTAATTAGAAAGTAGGGGAATTATTGAATGCTCTTATTTCAGCTCCCTACTTTACCTTCAGCATAGCTTTCATTATTTCTTAAAAAAAAAAAAATACTATCAAATGTGTGGAAGTAGAGATTTCGGAATCTGAGAATCCTGGGTTAGACTCTAGGTCCCATCTTTCAGCCATGTGACCTTGAGCACATTAACCTTTCTGAGCCTCCATTTCTCACACTGGTTTAGAAATGGGAGAGCTGGAGGGGATTGTGGGAGAGTATTTGTGTCTCCTGAGCCTAAAGGCTGTTTTGAAAGATAAATAATTATAGTGGGTCTAAAGGTGTCTTGTCTAGCCCCTGGCAAACATATTCCCTGTCAAAATCAGTTTCCTTTCCCCTCTTTAAACATTAATTCTCAAGGTGTTCCTCTAACACATTTTATTTCTTCCAGGATTGAATCCCCAGTTCAGAGCCTAAGTGAGAATGACTCTATCCTGGGAATCAAAAGGAAGCTGGGAAAAGAACTTGCTTCTCCCCATCTTCTGCTGGAGGCAGGACCCTCGGATTGGGAGGCAGAGGAGGAATCCTCAGTCGCCCTAGGTTGTGGTTAAAAGCAGAGTTTCTCAACCTCTCCACCACTGAAATGTGGACAGTCCTTTCTGTGGGGGCTGGCCCGTGTATTGTAGGATGTTTAGCAGCACCCCTGGCCCCTACCCTCTAGATGCCAGCAGCACCCCCTCCACACACACCATGTCCCCAAGGCAAAAACCACCCCCAGTGGAGAATACTGGTTAAAAGCTTGTGGAGGCAAACAGCTCAGGCTTTGCTCTTACTGATGTGACAAACTTGGGCTGTCCTTTAGCCTTCCTGGACTTCCATTTCCTCTCCTGGGGAATAGGCATAGACTTGCTAGAGGGTTAAATGAGACAAGGCACCTCAAAGGCCACAGTAGAGTGCCTGGTACCTATACAGTAATTGCCTGATCTATGAAGGTTTAAGAGAATACACTGGGTATCAGAGCCACCTTTGTCTGTTCCCAGGTGGTATATATTCTGAAGAGGTAGTATAAATTATTACCTGGGCTATTAAAAACTGCACACACGCAAAGAAAAACTATACCTTTTATTTCAAACTCAAAGAGTGGAGTGTGACCAGGTACGGTGGCTCACGCCTGTAATCCCAGCCCTTTGGAGGCCGAGGCGGGCGGATCACTTGAGGTCAGGAGTTCGAGACCAGCCTGGCCAACATGGTGAAGCCCCGTCTCTACTAAAAATACAAAAATTAGCTGGGTGTGGTGGTGCATGCCTGTAATCCCAGCTACTTGGAGGGCTGAGCCAGGAGAATCGCTTGAACCCAGGAGGCAGAGGTTGCAGTGAGCCGAGATCATGCCACTGCACTCCAGCCTGGGCAACAGAGCAAGACTCTGTCTCTAAAGAAAAAAAAAAAAGGAGTGAAATGAAATGTAGATTATCCCGAGATTTTTTTTCATATATATTCCCCTATCCTTTTTTATAGGTAGGAACAATTGGAGGGAACTGTGTTTGATTTTGAGTCACTACTGATTGTCCAGAGGTTGACATTTGTCCCAAACTTCACCTCTTTGTGTAAGACCCACAGTTGTAGGGCAGAACTGTACTCTTTATTTGAAGAGAAGAGCCCTGTGTGCTACCCGATAGACTGAAGAACTGGCGAGTACATCATGCCAGGCTTCTTGCCAGGACATATTTAACCTTAG